ATATATATATATATATATATATATATATATATATATATATATATATATATATATATATATATATATATATAAATAACAGGATACAAATAGGTGTTTTGCGAAATTGAGAGCAATTTCAAATCTGTTCATTTTTTTTATACACCCTGTATAGCTGGTCGGGCGGGAACAATTTTTCACTTGTGCGGGATACATTACGTTTATCTGAGGCCACGTGATTACAAATCGGCCAATCACCCTAGCTATATAACAATAATTTCTATTACTGTATTTTCCGCAGAAATTTACTGGACAAGACGTTGCCACGGTGACCGTAGAACATCACCTTACAACAGTCATATTTTCTCGCTTTCTACGCCTTCATGTAATAGAGCATAGTGGATACGCGTCATTTCGATTGGAGTTTATTGGCTGTTACATAGGTAAGTTAATTCAGAGTCCTGCATGCAGCTAGCACTGATCTAAGAATATAGAAATACGTCTATATAGGTAAATAACCTAATAACTGTGTGATGACTATTGCACGAAGTACGGTGGCCGGGCGATTGGCCTGTAAGACTATGATCGAAATAAAAATATTTCAAATTGTAAATATATTTTATAAATTTATGACAATACCATATCAGTAATATCGGCAACAAAAATATCGATGCCAATAATTTTGAATTTGTATAATTAGGTTGCTGCACATGCACACTGAATATTTTTCGCCTTTTCATTTGAAGACTGCTTTTTCTTCGATAAGCGAAGGTATATGTATAAGCCTCTTAAATTGGTGTTGAATTGGGTTTTTTTTTGTTAATACATAGATACAATTTTGCGTGAGTCCATACCTCTTGGCATGGAAAACGGTTTAATTTTGGATTCTCAACTTAGTGCATCATCTGAAAAGTACTACTATATTTCTGGTGCTGCTAGTGGCAGGCTTAATTCGGAAACAGTACCGAATGAAAGACACGGTGGTTGGATAGCAGCAGACGATGACAGCGCTCCTTGGCTTCAAGTTGACTTCATAAGCAATGCGACAATTACTGCTATAATTACCCAAGGTCTAGATACTGGAGGAAATTATGTAAAAGAATACACCGTGATGTTCAATAACAGTGAAACAGGAATGCAAGATTACACTGGGCCAAGCACTGGACAAATAACGGTAAGGGAGAGTATTCTCGACAAATCAATCAATGCCTTCATTTCAACACAATAAAATAATTAGCAGAGCTGATCCGCTCGTTCATTTAGCTAATGATTAAAAATACAATTAGTTATTATGGCTATATGCTAGAAATACATGCATGCAGAAACCCTTCGCCTTGCTGGCAAAACAATTCTATTTTCCGAACATGAAGTATTTGAAGTAGTTGTCATATAGCACTATAATTTTGTTAAGGATATTTTTAAAATTGAAAAATCCCCTAAAAATATCACTTTTAGTTACAAAATTATCAATTTCCCGAAAATATATGTTAGGTATGCTATTATACGTTACTATACGTAATATAAGCTTCAATGTACTATTCAACCACAAATAAACGCTTCGCAAAAGGTTTTAAAATTATGTTCTTAAAAATAAACTATATATCAATGAACTATTAAACTTTGAGTTTGAAATAAAATGATTTCAAATACTCGCAATGAAAATAACTTTATTTTCCTCTTTATTTAAAGATTTCAGTATAATAAAAAAGGGTAGGCCCTTAAATATTTGACACTGAAATTTTCATTAGACGCAATTATATATGGGGCGCCAAACCTGACAGAATAAAAATTGTTCGTGATATAAAGTACATTTCCAATTTACCCCTGTGATGTAAGATATTATACACACGGTAGCTCGTTATATAATGTATAACTTTAATTTGTGCACATCAATACATATATATATATATATAGGATATAACCTTAGTGACACAATATACAAAGTCTAATATAACTATAGAAATAGACTGGGGCGAGTTCTTAATTATTTATGCGCTTCCCATTTTAAAATTCATTTCCGGCTTTGAAAGTTAATCAGGAAAATGATTCAGGAATAAATTAACAAAATGATGATTTCTGCCATTTTCTTCTGAAACGCGGGAAACGTCGCGCGGGAAATCTAGCTCAAAAATATGTCGAACAAACCTGAAAACAACATAAATACATTTCTTGAGAATATTCCAAGTCTTATATTTGAGGCTCACAGGCGAATGTTTCTTCAACAGGGCAAGTAAATTGCGACGAATCGTCATTTTCGATCGACTGTTGTTCGGGGTGTTTGTATTCCGAGTAATGAGTAATGAGTAATGAGTAATGAGTAATGAGTAATGAGTAACGAGTAATGAATTTTCCTACTTGCTTTGGAAAGATAAACCATGAAAACATTGACAGTGATTCCACACACTCTTTGCCGTGAATAATTATAATGCTGTGACGATGTCAGTAGTTTAAACTGGTATGATCAAATATGGCCATATAAATTTCGCTTATAGTATAGCATACTCGTTTTTAGCATGTCACATATTAACCAGTTCAGCCTTCAAAACGATCGTCTCAAAGTTGAATAACATGTTCGCAATAGTATACTGTAGAATACAAGCGCTGTCGTATAAAGGTTGGTTTTATGATAAATTCAGTTCGGTCGCCATATTTGTTTTGCTATCTGCAGTCATGCAGCCAGTATAAAATCCGCAATTGACGTCCAAACGTTTTTAAGCTCGAAAACACTTTTCATTTTGTTCGGCTAAATTCAGGTTTTTCCCAAGCGAAATGTCGATAAGTAAGTTTTCAGTTTATAAAACCAAGATATTACTCTTTAAATCGATTTTTGTCGACCGCTATATTAGTGTTTACTTGTAATTCTACTATTGCGAACATGTTATTCAACTTGGAAACAAACGTTTTGAAGGCTGAACTGGTTAAATGTGACGTACTAAAAACGAGTATGCTATAAGCGAAATTATGGCCATACTTGATCATACTATCTCAGGGCCTTTTTTAACATACAAGCTGGGGGGGGGGGGGGGGAGCAAATGCCCCCAGTCCCCCCTTGTGCCCCCCCCCACGAAATTACATTTTGCCCCCCCTTCCCAGAAAAAGTCACTTTTTCCTAAAATTATATAAACAAACCAGCGAAGATTAACAAATAGATAAATGGAAAGTAAGTTTTAGGCTTTATCCTTTGTCCTTGTTTAACAAAATCGATTTAAATTGTTACGTTTTTCTACCACTAAGTAATGATAAATTATTGTTAAATTTTTTTACTTTTTGGATGTTCAAAATGCAGGAAATAGCATTTCCGGGTTTCAAGTTCCAAAAATTTTCTGGGGATTATCCCTCTAATAAGTAATGATAAATTACGGTTAATATTCTTTTTTACTTTTTGTGCATTTTTTCCTTCTTTTATTTCAAATACAAGTATAGTTAGCATAAATTTTGGGGCAAGTTTGGATACTCAGAATACAGGAAATGACATTTCCAGGATTCAAATTTCAAAACTTTTCTGGGGGAGTACTCCCCCAGACTCGCCCCCCAATCATGTGTGGTATATTGGCCACACACGTGGCCTTCAGCCATTGCTATCCCCCTCTAATATATTATCTCACAGAAAGGTCCCCTTTCAAAAAATGTCCCCCCCCCCACAGAAAAATCCTTAAAAAAGGCCCTGTACTATCTATGATACCATGCAGTTTAAACTGACACTATTACAGCATTATAACTATTCACGGCAAGGAGTGAGTGGAATCACTGTGATATTTTCATGGTTTATCTTTCCAAAGCAAGTACGAAAATTCATTACTCATTACTCATTACTCGGAATACAAACACCCTGTTGTTCGCAATAATCATTGAGCAATTCCTGCATATTTTAAACCAATATACCAATGTTGTTTTGCAGTTGCCTGTCATATAATCCACCTTGACATCGATCATACAATATATTCAAAACTTGAAAATTGCTTTCAATTCGCCGCTGCATAAACTCAATAACATTGATATTATCACAGGAGCCCAAGTGTTGTTATGTGTTTTAATTGAATTATTTCACTACATTACACTAATATGTCATATAACTAGAAAATACATGCATGCAGGAACCCTCGCCTTGCTGACAAAACCATTGTATTTTGCGAACATGAAGTATCAAAAGTAGTTGCCATGGTAACACGATAACTTTTTAAGAATATTCTTACAAATTAAAAATCGCCTAAAAGTATCACTTTTAATCAAGGGAGCACAGCAGTATTGTTTACGAGACTTTCGTACCTGTATATGGCTGTAAAATCTCTGAATAGGTAGTCTTTGTCTTCTTTGGTTCGCTAATTTGCATATAAACACTAAAACACTGTTTTTAAATTCGTAAACAAGCCAACAATTTCTTTATATTTTCGTATTTTTACATGGTCGTCCGCTGTACATTGTATCGCATGTAACGGTTTTGTAAATACGCGCGGAACTTACAATAAGAAATAGAGGGGAGTGAAACTGTGGGCACATCCGGTAAAATCTTTCGACAGACGCTGTAGCAAATTGCTTGGCACAGCAACCGTTGCTAGGCACAGGCCACTGCTAGATATAATTATGGAATTATGCAATCTTGGCTTCAGTTCACATGTTTTTAACGTGAGTTGATTCATAGTTAATCCAAACTGTGGATTTTCATTGCTGTGCCTAGCAATTTGCTACAGCGTCTGTCGAAAGATTTTACCGGATGTGCCCACAGTTTCACTCCCCTCTATTTCTTATTGTAAGTTTCGCGCGTATTTAAAAAACCGTTACATGCGATACAATGTACAGCGGACGACCATGTAAAAATACGAAAATATAAAGAAATTGTTGGCTTGTTTACGAATTTAAAAACAGTGTTTTATTGTTTATATGCAAATTAGCGAACCAAAGAAGACAAAGACTACCTATTCAGAGATTTTACAGCCATATACATGTACGAAAGTCTCGAAAACAATACTGCTGTGCTCCCTTGTTTTAATTACAAAATTACCAATTTCCCAACATATATATGTTAGCTATATGTTATTATACGTAATATAAGCCTCAATTGAAGGTAAAATTCAACCACAAACGCTTCGCAAAACGTTTTAAAGTGCTCTTTATAAAACTATTAAAACTGCCTTGGCTTAAATTAAATGGCTTTATCGATAAACTTTGAGTTTGCAATAAAATGATTTCAAATTCTCGCTTGCAAATAACTTTGCTTTCTTTTTTATTTAAAAAATTCAATATAATAAAAAAGGGAATCGATATTAAAGCCTAGTTTCCATTTGGTCGTTAGTTGTCGCTGGCACGACAAGCGGTAGATGTGAAATAGTCTAATATAATAATAGTCTTTTGTGTTTTATATGCAAATCAGTCTTAATGATTGCAGAGTTTTATAAAGTTTTGTTGACACTCTATTACATCATCCATTTGTCGTGCCAGCGACAACTAACGACCAAATGGAAACTAGGCTTAAAGATACACTGCCGCCGGAAAATTATATGCTGTCTTGTTTAGTTGTTTCATATACGCAAAGGCCGTCGGGTTTTAAAGCCATTATAAAATCAATATTTAAAACAAACTTACCTTCGTTAACGTCGGCTCCCTTCTTTTAGCTGATTCTTTCGCCCTTTCTTTCTTGAAATTTACAAAATCTTGCAAAAATGCGAGCAAAAATGAAATATATTTGCAAGCCAAATTCATCAATCATCAAATCAAGAAATGTTTGCTATTTCGCTGTCGTCATGCAATCGTTATAATGCAAACTTTAAATTGGACCAATCAGTTTTTGCTATTCACGACAGTCCGCCATATTTTTGAGATCATTGAGGATGACCACCCATGGTTGGTCACCCACGCCCGCGATAAATGATGAACTTTAGACTTCCCTAATGCTTTCGTTTCTCCGGGTGTAAATAGCCGGTGGGAATTAGTATACCCTCGCACGGCGCTTCGCGCCGTCGGCTTGGGGATAATAATAATACTCCTATAGTCGAACATATAATAAAAACATATAAGTTGTTTTGTATTTGTATGTTTTTTATTTATTTAAGATCTATTATTAGCTTATATAAATGCAGCGCCTTTCGAACCTGACAGCCCGTTCGCAGGATACGCGCGTGGGAGACGCGCGGGATTTGAAATAGTAGGCGGTAACATATAAATACGTGACAAGGGATGAAATTCTTAAAGTTTGTCGTATTATGAATGCCCTGACTTGAGTGAACCGATAAT